AAGTAGCAAATGACCTCTCACCTCCGACTGGCCTCAGTTTGGGAACTCCGCCTGTGAACAGGCCTCCGATTGGTGCAGCAGAACCAGATGGACTGCCTGCTCCGCTCCCATTGGCTCCTGCAGCTGCTGCTCCTCCTCCTTTCGGCTCTGAGAACCACAACCATCGGACAGATGAGTGAGGGCTCCGCCTCCTGAGGGTGTGACATCACTGCTTTACACCGACACCACAGCTACGACACTACGATGACGTCACTGACGTGACGATGGGATGGATTAGTGCGCGAGGTAGGATGCAGGTGAGGTCAGGAGACTGCCACAGGTGAGATGAGGTGAGATGAAGTGAGACTTTAAGTTTAAGTGTTTACGCTCCCACGCAGCTCCGATGACATCATCGCCAGCACAACAAACAGTCGAAAACACATAGATTATAACCTATTACATCACAGTGACATCATCAGGGCTGCATCAGTCAGGAACAAACTGGAGACATTGTATCCGTCAGGTAGGGCGAAAGAGGAAGGAGTCACGCCACCACCATCAGACCAGACGTCATGACGACTGAAAACATGCCATAGTCAGTCTGGGATGTGCTACAGGAAGTAGATGTAAAGTTGGTCTGAAGTGTGGCCACGCCCACCCGTGAGATAAAATGTCTGTTTATTTCACCTTTACCTGAAGGCTCATTCTGCTTCTAAAGTTAGCACCGCCCCTTTTCCATGCTCATGAAGCCAGTGGGTTAACGAGGCGATGTTAGAACAAATAAATTCACCTCCAATCCTGCAGTTCCTCTACCGTCCAGTAGAGGCAGCAGTGAGTCAGAGTTTGCATTGTTAGGGGCGGGGCCTGAATGTTAACCTCTCAGACACTGAAAGGAAAGCCCACTGACTTCAAAGCGAGGAAACAGGAAGTGGAAATGCTAACTCGAGTGGTAGCTGGTCTGCGCACACGGGTACAGGAAGCAGAGCAACCCTTCAGCAGTGAAAGCAGCAGGATGACCGAGCTGTGCAGCCCTGCAGGCTTCATGCTGTAGAGGAAGGTCAGAGGTGTCTGCCGCCCACTTGTCCCGCTGCAGGTTAGCAAGGCGTGTCTGCGTACGAGCTAAAAGCTAACTGATCCCGCTGCACGCTCTCAGTTTCACTCCTGAAACATCTGTGGACACGTTCTGGTTTCTACTTTACAGTCGAGACAAAATTTCTTTGCACACAGCTGTTGTTATAAAAATGTTCTGGAGCGGTTTCAGTCTGGTTTTAAAGCTCTGTCCAAGGGTTTTCCCTCGTAGTGGTTCAGGACTTTCTCTGCGAGCTTTGGCTATTTCACGTCTTCTTCAGTTCCCCTTACTTGTGGTGTTCCTCAGGGTTCCATATTGGGCCCAATTTACTCTCCATTTATATGCTGCCTCTAGCTAACTTTCATATAACGAATAAAACACTTGATTGATACGCCGATGACAGACTGATGAGAAGCTGCTCTGCTCCAGTAAAAGCCTTCATCAGGGTCTCGGTGAGGCCTGGATGGCGTCTAACTTCCTAAACGTTTCGTAGCAATCGCAGCACTTTAACCTTCACCTGCAGTCTTGAGCCTTTTATTAAGTCGCACGTTAAACATTTGGCGGATATATTTGACAATAACTTCACCTTTAAAATACAGATTAGCTCAGTTGTACAAACTGAGGCTTTTATCCAAGGTGGGATCATTTTTCTCTTTTGGACAGTCGTAACTCCTCATATGTTGCAGTTAGTCGGACCTGCAGTCGGTCCAGAACGCTGCAGCTCGTCTTCTGACACAAACTAAAAGACGTGAACATATTTCCCCGACGCTCGCCGTCTTCACCCCGTTCACATCAGAACTGATTTTAAAATTGTACTGTAGACTAAAAGCCCTGAACGGCTCCTGCGTGTTTAATCGGACCTCTTGCAGCCTGATGCAGCCTCTGGATCTCTTAGATCAAAGCATCTTTTGCTCAGCCGTGTCGCGTACGTGCGGTCGCGAGTGCGTCGGTGGTTCGGGATGAAACTGTGGGCGGCGTGGACGGCAGACATTTACAGAGCAGGAACACACACAGCAAAGCAGAAAGCATCATCAGGTCATCGGCAGCTGTGCAGGAAGCTGCAGCATCTGTTTCAACAGCCGCTCCGTCACCTGCCCACCGAGCCCGCACGCCACCGCCATGGTACAACTTTAACCTGAAGTCTGAACTCGGCGGAGAAAGGAAGAGAAGTTAGAGCAGAGACATGACGGAGGTTCAGGTGAAGCCGACACAGACAGAACGGATCGGATGAGGAGAAACAGGAAAAGGTGGAACAGAAACAAACAGGAAGTCAGAGCCGGAGGGGACACGGCGTGTGTGTGTGGAGGTCAACTGTGAGCCTGATGACGGGCAGAGGAGTCACGCCCACTTTCAGAGCCGCCCGTCAAACAGACGACGAGCCGTCAGACGGAGGAGCAGCAGCAGAGCGATGGCTCCTCCGTCTGTTTCAGCTGCTTCTACGAGCTGACCGAGCGTGCGTCAGAGGCTGACCGTCTCTGCCTGGTCACACCTCGCCGCCACCGAGGGTTCGCAGAAGAGTCGAAGCTCTGACGCAATCCCAACACTGATACCAGATTAATCACCTGCGTCCTCGCTGTGACGTCACACTGACGACGAGCGTGTTTGTGGACCAGTGTGTGACAGCTCCAGGAGGAGCGGGGTTTCCTGCACGGGCTGGATCTTCAGGGGTGACCGCATATAAGCCCGAAGGACCCGGGTCAAACGCCGTCTGTGCGGCCGAGCGCGGCTGCTCCCGCTGACCAGCAGCAGAAACAAGCAGGTTCGATGAATCACCTGCGTGTCACCTGCCTGCGCTCACTTCCTGTTTCAACTCTGCTGAGCGTTTGTCCTGAAACTTAAACTTTATTTTGGTAACTTTGGGAAACAGATCCCAGAACAGTCTGAGCTAACGTGCTAGCACTAACACGTCACACACGCGTGGCCCACGCCATGTTTACATACATCACAGGCTGAAGCGTGAGCTCGGGGCCGTATCAGGACCCCGCCCCCCCACAGGTTTAGTCATTCATCA